CTTCCTCCTTTTTTTTCACAAAATCAACACACACACAAATTCACCTACAGCCCTTGGGAACCTGGTCCCCTTCCACTAAAAATTCTTATGTATGTACCAGGGATGCCACTTTTCCGCTTTTTTCCGGTATTTCCGGTATTTTGATCCTGATCTGCTATTCCGTTATTGAGATCGAGATAGAATCTATGGTTGAAAAAAAAAACAAGAAAAAACCCCTCACACACAACTTGTGCCAAATGTTCAAATAACGGAAAAACGAAGACACCCATTGCTTACGTTTGTTTGTCATTTCTCTCTTTGTACACCCTTTGTACACAACTTGGTGATAGGCGGAACCCTCTTTCCACACCGTACAATCCACAAACTGACCTGGAATTCTCCAAATGGCCGGGACAAGAACCAGATTGACCACATTATGATAGGAGGAATGTGGAGACGTTCCCTACAGGATGTGAAAGTCAGAAGAGAAGCAGATGTCAGCAGCGATCACCATTTAGTGACGGCAAGAATAAAACTCAAGCTGAAGAAAACTTTCACCAGGGAGGCGAAAAAGACACGATTTAATGTTCACAAGCTCAGTGATGGCAATGTGAGATCTACCTTCCGACTAGAACTAAAGAATCGATTTCAAGCTCTCCAAGACCTGAAAGAAACCACCCCTAATACAGATGAAGTCAATACCCAATGGAAGCATGTTGTTGAGGCCTACACAGTGAGCAGTAAGACATGTCTTGGTGTCAAGAAAAAGAATGGACACAGCAAGGAACTTGGAATACTATTGAAGAACGGAGAGAAATAAAGAAAAGACAGCTTGCAGTTAAGTCGATACGGCTACAGGAGAAGTACGCAGAGGATTACAAGGAAGCTTGCCAGAAAGTTAAAAGACTGGTCAAGAAGGACAAAAGAGAAGCCATGGAAAAGTTGGCAACTGAGGCAGAGGAGGCAGCTGCTAAAGGTGAACAAGGCAACGTATACAAGATCACAAGAATAATATGTGGCAAGTTCCACGGTGGAATGAGTGGACCAATCAAAGACAGGCTGGCAAGCTGCTGACAATCGAGAAGGAACAAGAAGCACGCTGGACAGAACACTTCAAGGAAGTCCTAAACCAACCTCCACCTGAGGACACCCCAGACATACAGGAAGCTACCTTGGATCTGGATATCAGCTCTGACCCACCACAGAAACACGAGATTGTAGAAGCTGTCAAGAGCCTGAAATCAAGAAAATCTCCAGGAATTGACAACCTGAATGCTGAATTGTTTAAAGTAGACCCAGAACTGACCTCCACCATTCTTCATCCACTATTCAAAACCATATGGGAGGGAGAGCAGATTCTCGAGGACTGGAGCACTGGAGTCATTGTTAAAGTACCAAAGAAAGGAGCTCCTAGAGACTGCAACAACTGGAGAGGTATCACGTTGCTATCAGTTCCCAGCTAGATTCTGGCCAAGATTATTATTAACCGGATGTCGGATGCCGTGGACAGCTGCTTAAGAAAAGAACAGGCAGGATTCAGCAAAGAAAGAAGATGCACAGATCAGATATTTGCCCTCCACAACATAATAGAACAGTGCACGGAATGGCAGAGACAACTTTATGTCAACTTCGTTGATTTGGAAAAAGCATTCGACAGTGTGCATAGAGAAAGTCTTTGGTACATTCTACGATATTATAGAATCCCTTGCAAGATAGTAGAGGTCATCAAAACTTCTACCAAAACTTCAAGTGCGTTGTTGGAAACAGTACCACTTATTTTGAGGTAAAGACAGGAGTTAGACAAGGATGCAACATGTCAGCAATTCTGTTCAACCTGGCCATTGACTGGGTCATGAGGAAAACAACAGAGGATACATCAAGAGGCATAAAGTGGACCGTCTTCTCCACCCTCGAGGATCTTGACTTTGCCGACGACCTTGCACTACTCTCCCATACCAACCAGCACATGCAGGGAAAAAGCAAATCTACACCACAAATACGGATGCCAGATTGGGTTAAGAATAAGCCAGAAGAAGACAGAAGTGATGACACTGAATATAGGCTCCCCAACACTGATTAGGGTGAATAACACAGACCTCCCTATAACAAACACATTTACCTACCTAGGCAGCATAATCAAAACTGACGGCGGCACAAAGGAAGACATCATGAACAGACTCGGCAAGGCAAGATCTGTACACAGAAGCTTGATCAACATCTGGAAGTCAGAACAATTTAGTATACAAACCAAGTTACGGCTGTATAACAGCTGTGTACTATCCATACTCCTATATGGAGCTGAATGCTGGAGGATGACTGATCATGACCGAGCCAAGCTATCTTCCTTTCATACAACCAGCTTACACCAAATCCTCAGAGTCTTCTGGCCCGACAAGATCTCCAACACAGATCTGTTACATAAATGTAAGCAAGAGGACATGACCACCATAATAAAAGGGAGAAGATGGAGATGGATTGGACATGTTGTGAGAAGAGAACCAGACTCTATTGTGAAGACTGCCCTCCACAAGACACCCGAAGGACATCGCAAAAGGGGCAGACCCAAAGTAACCTGGAGACGCACAGTAGAGTCTGAAATGAAGTCCTGGAATCATTCGTGGGGAACGCTGACCAAGATGGCCCTAAACAGACAGAGCTGGAGATCCTTTGTTGCTGCCCTAAACTCCAGATGGCGTAATGGGTAGTAAGTAAGTACACCCTTTGGGTTTCAAATTGATATTCATATGTTAGCGAGACCGTGGCACATGGATTTTCAGCTATTTAAAAAAAAGTTGAGTGGCATCCCTGATGTACATAATGATAATGTTAACGAGCTGATTTGTAGTAGTCTGAAGAAACATAGAATCAAGTTGATACCACACCACTGATGCTGTCCCAAGCAGACCAAGTCTAGGTAGAATCCGAAACAATAGGCCTACAGTACACTTAATGCATACGCAATGAATAAAACAAACACACATCAATTTCCAATCGCTATTCTCAGTGCACTGTTTTAAGCGAGAAACTATGTCAAATACTGATTTTAGAGCACAGAGTTGGGCTGGAGGTGAGAACAAAGAAGAGGAAAAAAGGGAGGGGGGAGGATCGGTGGTCCTTACTGACTGCTGCTAAGTGCTGTTCGCTAGTCAGCCCTCGACTCTCACCTCCGTTAAAATTCTTGCTATTTGCAAAGACTGGCTAAACCACCAACTCACCGGGTGTGCTTTTTGGGGCCAGGTAAGGCTGTAACAGGAAGTAAGCGGTGAACAGAACACCAAACAGAATCATGGGTGTCTCAAAATTCAATTAGCGATAAAGATATGAGCCATCATGACAGTACAGTGGAACTCGGATTCAACAAAAGGTGTAGGATTCCCCGTTTTATTTATTCATAAAAATCAATAAAAATAACTCGGATTCAACGCATAAATGAGCAAGCTCGGATTCAACGAAGTGGCTTGCAGGGTGAACAGCCCCCACTGACATGGCTTCTCTCATAGTTCTACCGCAACGAACCTTATTATTCCTGGAAACCATTCATAGTACATGCATCATGAACCATTATTCGCTTAGACTATTGTTCATGTATTATGTGACCTGTCAACGGCCTTCTTTCACACCCTCACATACATTGTTAGCACGCACATTTATATCTTAGAAATCTAGTGTGTGTCGAGGTCGGATGAGTGGCCAGCACACATAACACGTGTGACTGTGTGCATGTGTCTAGGGATTGGGGGGGGGGGGGACCCAAGCAGTCTGGACGTGGAACGTCAGTAGAGATACAAACATGTCACAGCTTTATTTTCCCCGGCCACTGATCAATATCACAATGATAAGCTAGTCTTGACATGATAGATCTACGTACAGTAATGAATTGCACGCTGGATAGTGGAATTAAATGTTGTTGTATGCAAGGCTCTACACAGCAACATAATTGTTTGGCAAACAGTATATTAAAGTATAGATGATAGATGACACAAACAGGCATTTGAACGAATCAGCCCTTTTGCACAGTGCGTGCTTTGTAAGGTTCAGTATATTTTCCTGGAATTTTCCAGCATTTCTTTCGTATGGCCTTAAAGAAACGAAAATGCCTCTCATTTGAAACCAAACTGCTTTTGATTGAAAAAGTCAAATACAGTTAAACACGGGTAACTCGAATTCATCGGGGATTGGAAATAGTGTTTGAAATTTCTGTAATTCGTCATGTTCGTGAAAGCCCCAAACAAAGAAATAGAGAGAAAAGCAAGGGAGGTAAAAAAAAAAAAAAGAATATTTAAACATTTAACATGGTTAGCTCCCTTGATGAACCTGAGACGGCGTGAAAGCAAAAAGATGAATGAAAGTGGACCGCAGAAAATCTCACGTGTGCACAGCCGACTCATACGTCATTCCTTTCCTCTCATTTCATTGGCTTACAGAAAGTTGCGCTTTTTGCCATTCGCACCGCGCACATCTCTCATCATGATTACTCGTATGGCAAGCCAGTCATGCGGTGCGGTCACCTTCACTCCCCAAACCCCCTTCCTCCAGCCTCTCGTGATGAGACAAGGACCACGTGTTGGCTGTAACAATAACAAACATCTACCCGCAGCCAGAAAGGCTGTAAAGCCGGGTCTTTAGTTGATAATGGGAAGTGGATTTGTTCAAGATTCGAGTGTTGAGTGTTCAGGAACTCCGTATAGTCAATGCAAAGAAAACATAGGGACTAAAACGGGACCGAGCATAATGTTCGAGATACCCGAGAATTCGTGATTTTCGTGTTCGGTTTTCGTGGACACTGCTGTACGTTATAATTATATACATTACTTGCTCGGTGCCTGGATCAACACAAAAACCGTATGTTTGCTATACGAACACTCGGATTCAACTAAATTGAAGGTCAGGCCGAACGACTTTGCTGAATCTGAGTTCCACTGTACATGTACGTGATTACTGATAAAATTATAATATGTACTGTTCAAGACAGTCTTATCCTGTGTAAGCAACGGAAGAGCCAAATTGGCAAGAAAGGTGATCTTCATGCGGTCTCTTTCCACTCTGAGGACAATTGCTTAATACGCCAGGCTGGATGACATCACCACTGAAAGCGCGATACGAAGGCGTGCATCGTGACAGCACAGCTGGTAATAACTTTGTGAGCCAGCGAGATGAACTGGGATTTAGGAAGACTTTATGGGGTGCGACAACACATCGGCGAGCCTGTATTGTCTCTTTGAGCGTATTTCTATAGGGAAAGTGCTCTTTGAATCATGTTGATAAATGTATTAATTTGGATTTACTTGAAACTGAATAAGAACTTTCATCAGCAGGCAATCTCGTGCCCACTACAGCTGACTAAAAGTGACCGGCTCTGCCGGTCTTGCCCAGTTAACGAACCGCGCCTGGACTTTACACTTCAGCAGAGCTTTTTGGGGGAAAAATTGTATCCACCATAAACAATGATCACCACCACCACCAACCCCCCCCCCCCCCCCCCTCTTCCCCTCCACACAGCTGTTTTTGTTTTTGATTTTTTGTTCAATAAAATTGAATTTTTTCTAAATATGTTTCTTGTCAATGGTATCATCATATGTCATGTCGGAAGCAGACATTAACATTTATGGTTCTCCACTCCTCTGTTTCATTTGAGGCTCTCATAGATGAGTTGTAGTTCATTGTGTTAGTTGCTCATTTGATGTTTTCTGTCAGTTGTATTGAAATGATAAAATTGACGTCCTAGTTGATATGTTGCTCTTCATTTTAGGAAACATTTGTTCTCTAATTTCAATGCAAAGGAAAATGGGCTTTTTGTTTGCCATGTTTATTGTTCTATAAATGATGCTAGTTTGGGGTTTTTTTCAGATGGGTGTCAGGAGGCAAGGACTTAACCCTGGATCAGATGATCAAAATTCTTCTGTCAGTGAAAAAGGGCAAATCATGGGATGAGGCATTTCAGTTCATACCCAAGAGAAAGCGAACAGCAAGGGATCGGTAGAACAACTCAGGAAAAACTTACCTGTACTTTTAGAAGAAATGAGAGTAAAAATCTGCTTTCTGGATTGAATCTTGTTTTGTACAGCTGTGTTCTTCTTTAGGATTGCGGCCTACAAATTACCGTCTGCAGTCTTTTTTTTATAGGTGTTACTCATGAATATGAAACACCCTTGATTAATATTTTGAAACCTGGACCTTGATATAATTTGGGCCATTCTATGAAAAATGAAACTACAGCTCAGAAGGAGCAAACCACACCAGACCTTCCAACCACCCGCAAGCATGCCACTATTCCTAGATTAGCTGACTAACTTGATGAGGATGACTTGCAAAACTCAAGTAGAGAACAATAATTGTTTGTAAAATAACCTGGTGTTGTGTAAAGAAGTTATGTTGTGCTATTTACATTTTGTTAACTGCTGATAGTACATGTACATGATACACACAGTGGTTTACCAAAAAAAATGAATAAAGGATGAATTTAAAGGGCAATAGCTCTGTAATTTTACTCAGCAATTTTTGCAAGAAACTGAACCCAAAAAAATTCAACCAGGGCATATCAAATTTGTGAATTTGAAGAAAATGGACCAACATTTTCAAAAAACATGAAGTTTTTTAAAATAAGAACTAAAATTGAGTAAAACACAAAACTTTACAGCTTCTTAAAATTCAACTGTTATAGTGTGTATTATTATGCAAAGATGACCGAGTTATTACACTACACTTTACATGTTTAATGAGGGTTTTTAAAAATACATCTGGTGGTATATATGCGTTTGATGAAGTAGAATTTCTTTATGGGATTTCTGATGTAAAGTTGCATTGATTATGACCTCCAGCTGTTCATATCAAGCAGTAATATTTCTGTTTTTATAGTTTTATCACAATGATGTTTTATAGGATATAATATAAAACAATAAACTCTCATTCTGAAGTGTACTTGGCCTGTAATTTTTACGATGGATGATTTTTAAGCATTTATTGTTCTTTTTGTTATAAGTCTTGTTTGTCAGAGACAACGTTCAGGTGAGGTCCAATTTCTATGCTGTATTTGTGTTTGTGTATGATTCTTTTTTTTTCTTTTTTTCCTCTTTTTTTTTTTTGTAGGTGTTCTACGGCGCTCGCAACTAAGTGCCTAAGGTAATATGAGCGCAGTAAGAATTTATTTTGAATTTTGTCCCGGGTGACGGCTGGAGCCTACTCTTCTCCTTTTTGGACCACCAAGAGATCTTTAACATACACAACTTGCACCCTGCACCTCTGGGATTTTTCGCCCGTATCCAAGAAGGCTATATGTTGGATCTTACCTACCCTAAGATCAAGATAGTGTCTGAAAGACTGCAGTACATGCAAGAAGGAGCCAAGGAGTAGCATTAGAATTAAGGCTGCAGAAAGAGTCAGGAGAGCAGAAAGTGGAGATGAAAGCAGATGACAGAACATGGTTAGAGTTAGAGAGCTGGAAAGGAGGTGAAAGGAGAACATTTTTTAGAGAAGTAAACTTTCCGTCGCTGTCAGGTTTCGAACCCAGGACCTATTGAATGAGAGGCTAATACCATAGCTCTAGACCACAAGAGGTCTATGATTCATGATTCTTTTGAATGTTGGGGAAAAGATGGGGTGGGGGTGGGCATTTTTTGTGGATCCATCCAGTTCCTGTCCCTCAGTAAAAATTAACGGTTCATGTGCGTAAAAGAAAGTTGTTGTGGTTTTTTTTTATAAAACCATGTAATAATCAATATTGAAAAGGTCTTGAAAGCACCTTAAATAATAGGGTGACCTTATTTAGGCCACACTGTGGCCTAAATAAGCTAAACCCCCCTCCCTTACCTTATTTAGGCCACACTGAGGCCCAAATAAGCTAAACCCCCCTCCCTTATCTTATTTAGGCCACATCATATGGTAGGTTTCTTGAACTAACCATGGATTCGGAAGGTCGAGATTCTAATTCTACTGATCTTTTTATTTAGTGCGGTGGATTATTTCAAAATAGAGGATGATACTAAATGATAAGTGGACCAAGGGTAAGAGTTGTGTGTCTGTGTGTGTGTGAGTATGTGTTTGTTTTGTGTGTGGTTGTGGTGAGAGAGAGATCTAGAGAGAGAGAGTAAATGCAATAGTGTGTTTGTATGTGTGTAGGTGTGCAATGTGTGAATGTTATTGTGTACATGAGTGTCTATCTCAGTTGTACGGTCCAAATGTACATTATTTTGTTGAGAATTTTACATAGAACTCAACTACAAAGCACCTTTATACAAAGTCACAGAAATATTCTTTTTGTGCTTATTGAGGTGCAGTACATGGTGATTTTACCTGCAAGGATTTAATTGGACAAAATGGGCAATATCTTTATAATGCTAATACTAATGGTCATATTTAGACAAATCCTATATCATTCTCTTTTTTTCTTAACAGCTCATGGTTATTAAAGAGTAAGAAAAACTAGATCAAGGTAGTAATTTCGGATTCCTAATATTATGGGCATTCTTTAAAATTTTAAACTTGTTTTTAGCGCTTTTCTCAACGTAAAACGGATTGGGTTAAAAAACAACAACAACAATGACCTTATCTTTCTTTTTCAAGGTATTGTGCATACATTTGTGTGAAACTAGTATATTCTATGCTTTCAAGTACATGAAAAAAGCTAATAAAGTCAAGTAAAATGTTCTTCAGAGACATAGATCTAGTAGTAGGCCCACTGGAACATTTTATAAACCGTGAAAAGATGACCAGAAAATAACAAAATTATCTTATGATCTTCACTTGCACTTGCATTTTTTTGGACAAATTATAGTCTACCTCATTATCTTTTTTTTCACATTTTTCTTCACTATTCATGACAACTGGCATGTTTTTCAGTTATTATCAAGGAAGTGGATAGGCGGACCACGGGGTCTATCTAGCCCCAAAAGGATAGGTGGACCCCGGGGTCTACCTAACAAAATGCTGTTTTAGGATGTGAACCCCGGAGTCAGCGGAGTGAAATAAGTAGATCTAGGTTTAACTAAGGATCGGTGGACCCCGGCGTCAACATAGTGAAATAAATAGATCTCAGTTTATTTTATAGTAGGACTGGCGGAGCCCGTGGTCATCGTAGTGAAATTATAAGTAGATCTAGGTTTAATAAGGATTGGTGGACCCCGGGGTCAACGTAGTGAAATAAGTACACGTAGATCTAGGTTTGATATTAAAGATTGGTGGACCCTAGAGTCAACGTAGTGAAAAAGGTAGGTTAAAGGTGGACCCCAGGGTCTACCTAACGAAATACTAGTTAAGTTTTAGAATAGGTGGGCCATGCAGTCACCGTAGTAAAATAAGTAGGTTTAATCACGGTGTCCCGGGGGTCCACCAATCCTTAATTAAACCTTCTTATTCTTCTACGGCTATGGTGACTCCGGGGTCCACCAATCCTTTTAAAAACCTACTTATTTCACTACGATGACCCCGGGGTCCAACGATCTTTAAAGAAACCTAGAGAATCTACTTATTTCACTACGGTGACCCCGGGGTCCACCTGTCCTAAAACCTAGTATTTTGCTAGATAGACCCCGAGCCCCGGGGTCCACCTTAAACCTGCTTATTTATCACTACGTTGACCCCGGGGTCCACCAATCCTTACTTAAACCAAACCTTATTTCACTACGGTGACTTCGGGGTTCACACCCTAAAACCTAGTATTCCGCTATGCAGACCCCGGAGTCCACCTATCCTCTACAGGACTATACTATTATCAATTTGCAATTTTCATTGATTAGCATATTTAAAAAAAAAATTGAATAAGAGACTCACTGTCTAAAAAGTCCACTGCTAATGCTATTCTTATCAAAGAAAAGGCACAATTTGACTTTATGACATGTTAAAAAAAAAAAGAGTTTTAAAAATATCCAGAAAATAAAATAAAATGATTATATAGATCTAGATCTAAACGTATTTTATTATGTATATATATACTTAAAAGTAAAAGACTGAGCAGAGGCTTACAATGCAAATTCTGTGCTCTACAAGTAGATTAGTAGAGAAAGTCTTAAGTTTGCGCAAAACAGATTTTAGAAAAAAAAGTTGGATCTAATTATTCTAATAATAGTAAAAGTGATTGTTATGGTGAGATTTGTTATTATTAACTCTGGAAATACAGTTAGTTGCTGAATCTAAAAGTAACTAGAACTGTGCAATTCGTTTTATTTCAATTCCAAAGCCCAAAGGCATAGCAATGAGTTAGATCTAGATCTAGCAGTTGTAGGCTCTCTGGCTGCTTCTAGCATAGGCCTGCTACTACTGATTCTAGACAGGGAACCTAGATCTAGCTATCACCTGCACTATTAAAGTCAAATATATGGTAAAATAAAAACAAAACTGTGAATCCCTTTATCAGTCAGTACATCCCAATTGCCATAGTCGCACGTATTAATAGTTGAATAATTATACCGAAGCAACACGTTATCACAGTGTTCAGGGGAGAGTGGGGTGCCCGGGTCGCTGACCGGTTGATTCGGTGGTTTGGCTTTTGTAGATCTATGCATTCATTTTTTTTTTTGCGGAAAGCCCTATTACTAGATCTATTAGTGTTGTGAAAACTTCAACCTCTACAGCTAAGGCGTCAAAAGATGTTGGAAAATAATAATACGTCCTGAAGTTTCATAACTTATACAGAATAATACAGCCAGTAGTTTTTATTTCATCGAGTTTTAAAAATGGCCTTGTAACTTGTTAGTTTTCAGAAGCAAATTTTAATAGTTCCAGTTCTACCGAATCGATTTTCACGCAAATTCAACCATTTTGATGACCTTTCTTTTCCTTTTAAAAAGATGTAGGCCTGTCGGATGTGGCAGTGCGATTAACACTAAGTTGTTTAGACCCATCAAAACACGAGGCTTCGTGGCCGATCACAAAGGTCTACGGGGCTTATCGAGGCCGATTCGCCGTGCCGCGTGCACATTCACTAAACTGCCTACTAGATAGAATCTACTACCAAAGATTCTCTACACGATCTTTGCTACTACTACTACTACTAGATCTACATGTACTACTACGAGACTGTACGAGGGATGTACTACTACGAGACAGTACGAGAGAGTGCCACCCAGCCAAAGATAGTGTAACTTTGACTCAGCCACGTTGTGGACACACTTTTTATACCCCAAATTTGACCCGGAAGTCCATTCGGAGGATTTGACCTTTTCACTTGACCAAAGTGTGCCAAAATGGCAGCCTAGATTTTGCCCCTCCATGAAGGAAAAATCTGGCCCTCATTCAAACCTTTGGGGTTGAGCAAAATTTTGCGTATCGTGCTTTGTTCTTACAATATTCATTATGATATATATATATATAAGTTGTACACTGAGACAAAACTGTACTAAATGAGAAGGGTGCACCATTATGAAAGTGGAACGAACTCAGTTGCCTGAAAAGGGTGTGCCCCGGTAGTTTGAGCATGTGTGGCCTAAATAAGCTAAACCCCCCTCCCTTACCTTATTTAGGCCACACTGAGGCCCAAATAAGCTAAACCCCCCTCCCTTACCTTATTTAGGCCATATGTGGCCTAAATAAGCACTCCCTAAATAATATGTGAAGAAAAATAAAACTTCATTCAGTTAGACTTGTTACATGAATTGAAAACTTGAGACAGGACAAGGTTGAAGTTGAAAAGCATTTTACTATGTGATGTTCGTTATGTCCCACAAGGTCTGTTCTGATACGTATTGGGATTTTAGATGGTTTTGAATTTGGAAATATTTATATGGAAGTGGCTTGCTGTTTACTGTAAAATTATTGGTGGTGCACAAAGCTGATTCATATTTATGAATGCTCATACAGGTGTCTACCGGCATCTGAAGTGTAGCGATTAGGTGCTTTGCTATTGCATGCAGAAGACTTGAGTTCAATTTCTGAGTGGGAGAATTTGTATGAAGTATCTCTCTTTCTGCTTGGCCATTGTATCTGGG